ATGAAGAATTTTAAATTTGTCATTGAAAGAATGATTATGGTCTAGAAGGTGAAGTGCGTATGTCGAATCTGTTTTTCTATTATTGAAAGCCCTTTTATGTTCTGCTATTTGTTTATTAAAGTTTCTACTAGTTTGACCGATGTAAGTTTTTGGGCAGTCGCCCAATTCAATTTACTTCAGTGTATATTTGGTTGCTTATAAAGATGGCGTACTCAAATATATTTATAATATCATAATTATTAAAATAACCAAATACATTGCAAAATTAAAACTTTTTAAACTTATTATTATGCTAATTTCTTAAGAATACCCCCATAAAAATACTTTTTATAATATTTTCTAGTATATAACTTATAAAATTATTTCTTTAATCACTATTTAAGTTCATTCTAGATTACCTTCGTTTCTCCTATATTTAATATTATCTCATTTTTGCAAATATTAATAAATTTTTCTTCTTTTGTATACACTGCTCACTAAATACATATATTATATATGTATTTAACGAACGGAATATTTAACGAGCAGTGTATACAAAAGAAGAAAAATTAATATCTGCAAAAACTGACTATTTCAATATCTGCTCTGCTGCTAGTGTCAAATACCAGACGAGTTAAATTAATGTGATTGTTAGTTAGTAGTCTTGTTTGTTATTTTATAAACCAGTTGAATTTCTTTTACAATTTAAATATGAAACCGAGACAAGTGAGTACATTTAATGTTTATATTTTTATGTCTATAGTGTTCTCAAATTTTCTATTTCTGTCTGATTTTTTGATAATGCTATTTGAAGGTATCAGTACGTATTTTTTGAGAAGTTCTAGTATCTTAAACTTTAACGGCTAAATACCAATAAAAATGTCAGCCTATCGCCACCATCGGTATAAGATACTGCTGGAAGTAAACGTAACACTTATGGAACCGTAACTATAATAAATGTAATCATTGTACCAATAATAATTCTGTCCAGATAAAAAAGTTAGTTAATTTGTACGTCATATAGCAGGATTTTTCAGAATATGTATACAGCTTGAACCCGCATAGATTATTGAAAACTTACAAAGCTTTCATAAATGCATGTTTAATGACTCAAACAGAACTTTTTTTGCGAGTTTTCGATTAGATTTTCTAGAATAGCTTCTGCTCTTTATTATGTCACTAATTTTCTTCATCGTGTGCCTCATCGTTAATGGCGATCATCACGGCTCATTTTCGTCTATTTGTAATAGTTCGGAAGAGTTATATTGTTGGTTTTTTCACTTCACTGCTTTACATTTTTAAACCTGAACGTGCGTCGTCTCCCCGGTCCTCTTTTTTCTTTCACTTTCCCTTTTACAACCAGTCGCATCCACTCATATTTTTCGTTTTTTAGCATATGACCAAACTAGCTTATTCTTGTTTTCTTTTTAGTGTTGAGTGTTTTTTTTCTCATTTCATCTTTCCTTATGTTTCCGTGTTTGTTGTGTGATGTGTCTATGATATTTTTCACTTTCCTTGATATCACCACATCTCAAAGTTAGCAAGTCTTTTTTCAGTTACGTCTGTAATTATTTAGGCTTTAGTTTCATATAAGTGCCACTAATAAAGTTTTAAATAACCTTCTTCTTATTGTACACTCTAGTTGTATCTTCTGCGGTACTGAGTAAAATAAAATTAGAACTAGGAAATAATTATTTTTTTCTTCAAACGTCAAATAATGATGACATTACTTATCTAACTTGATCCTGTCAAAGTTTGATGTCTCCGCCGGCAGCAGTTTTTTTTTGCCATTTCTTTACGGTGGAGGGAAAAATGTTGTCATGGCAACAATATGAAACATGTCACAAAGCAACAATACAAATGTCATTAACAACAATTAAACATCATTTTTATTTATAGTAATATTAAAAGTACAATTAGTTAATGAGGCATTTTCAAAATTGAAACCGTGCAAAAATATTCCCGACTCTTGATACGCATTGGTAATTGTTGATGATACTGATGGTAGAGAACAACTTTCAGCAATCATTCCCGATGTTGGCGTCGTCTTTCTTATTTCTTATTGAATCCTCTATATATCCTTCGGCAACCGTACTTGATTTCCAGCCTCCATGTCGTTTGAGGCATTCTAGATTTCCGCCTCCATCAATTAAAAGTGTTGCTGAACTTCGTCGTACAGAGTGAAACGTGTATGCGCTTGCATCGTTTAAATTTAAAAAACTAGCTACTTTTGGGCTACTGCGCTGATCGAATGTATTCCCATGACGCTTCGGTAACACTTTCCATTTTGGTACTTGATAAAAAATCGGTTTTCTGTGAAATTTTCAGGCCGCAGTGAGGCATACTTTTTATACAGTTTAATGTAGTTTTGACCAATTATCGTAAAAGATCTAATTTGTCGTGTTATACTGTCTGGGATTTGGATAATTATTACATTTTCTTTATCCTTAATGTCCACAGTCTTCATTTTTACCATTTCGTCGCATTGACAGGCGCCGGTAATCCCAATTAACAAAACAATCCGAAATATTTTTATAATTTAGTAAACACGTCTTTACTGAAAACTTTAGACTTCTTTGCAGTATATCCTTCGCTTGTTTTTTTTTTCAGAAAGGCACGTAACTTTAAAAATTTGCTTAAATCCGCATTTTTTCTAATAACTAACTCGGATTTTATCATAGAGTATCGTGACCACATTGTAGAAGATTTCCATTTATTTTCATTTTCCATTATATTAAAATATGCCAGTAAAACGTCTTCGGTAACTTGCCGTACTCCTCTTGTATCGCACCACTCTTGGAAGTGCTTGTACGCTAACCGATACTTTATTCCGGACTTGGAGGGCCCCAAACGTGCTACTGCATCATTAGCCGCGGACTTAATTTCGTTTAGGTTTTCCATTTTCGCACTAAATTTGCACTTGTGGTTGCAACAACAATAAGCTGTCTTTAATAATTGCAAACATCTGTCAAACAACTGTAACCAGGGAGACACAAATCCCACCGACGACAATTATTTTAATTTCTAACATCTAGACGACTTTGATAGTTGTCACAGTTAATTTTGAGTAAAAATAGCGTATGAATTGTACTATTTATGGTTGAAAATTGCTACGTTTGAAGAAAAAATAGTATACTTTATTCCGCAAAGAAGTAACTTTTCTTGACTTGTCCTCTATTACGCGCCTCGAAAACTTTGTTTTCAAACTTCCACAAAAATTTATTTTAATTCTTATCACGACAGCTATTTCGGCTGATTGCCTTTCTCAAGTGATCTATTTTTGGCATGCGTTTACACTTTATAGTCTCTAATGAAATAGGTTGAGGAGGGGAGAACTGTTTGTCTCGAGTTGGTCATTCAGAATTATATCTGTGTTTTTTAATTTGTTGATTTCCATATATTCTAACAAGGATAGCTTAAGGCCTTTATTTTGAATGTGAAGAATTTTAAATTCATCGTTAAAAGAATGATTGTGATCTAGAAGGTGAAGTGCGTATGTAGAATCTGTTTTTTTAATATTGAAAGCCCTTTTATGTTGTGCTATTCGTTTGTTTAAGTTTCTACCAGTTTGACCGATGTAAGTTTTTGGGCAGTCGCCACATTTAAGTTTGTACACACCACTGTGTAAGTGTTTTTTTTTTATTTTGGCTCTTGTTGTTTTTGTTATATTGGGCTAGGTTGTTATTTGTTCGGAAAGCTGGTGTTATTACTTTCTTTTTTATGTATTTGGCTATTTTTGTTGTAATTTTGCCTGTATATGTAATCGAACAAAAGGTACTGGGTCTTTTCTCTGGTGGTGGAAATACTAATTTCAGGGCTTTCTTGTGTAGTTTTTGATTTAACATTTTATTAATTGTTTGTTCATTGTATCCGTTGTTTACTGCTATTTGCTTATTTATATTTAATTCTGTTTCAAAGTTGTATTTTGACATCGTAATTTCACAAACCTACCCATACTGACACGACTATACACAACTCATCATCCCATCCAACACAACATAAACTGGCAGCATATCATAGTATGTTACATAGATTAACAGAAATTCCGTTGTCAAAATAAAACTTTTAGACAGAATTAAATACTATTAAGCAAATAGCAGTAAACAACGGATACAAAGCACAAACAATTAATAAAATGTTAAATTAAAAACTACACAAGAAAGCCCTGAAATTAGTATTTAAATCAACAGAGAAAATACCAAGTACCTTCTGTTCGATTACATATACAGGCAAAATTACAACAAAAATAGCCAAACACATAAAAAAGAAAGGAATAACACCAGCTTTCCGAACAAATACCAACGTAGGCAAATATATCAAAAACAACAAGAGCCAAAATAAAAAACACTTACACAGTGGTGTGTACAAACTTAAATGTGGCGACTTCCCAAAAATTTACATCGGTCAAACTGGTAGAAACTTTAACAAACGAATAGCAGAACATAAAAGGACTTTCAATAATAAAAAAAAACAGATTCTACATACGCAATTCAATTTCTAGATCACAATCATTCTTTTAACGACGAATTTAAAATTCTTCACATTCAAAATAAAGGCCTTAAACTATCCTTGTTAGAATCTGTGGAAATCAACAAATTAAAAAACACAGATATAATTCTGAATGACCAACTCGAGACAAACAGTTCTCCCCTCCTCAACCTATTTCATTAGAGACTATAAAGTGTAAACGCATGCCAAAAATAGATCACTTGCGAAAGACAATCAGCCGAAACAGCTGTAGTGATAAGAATTAAAATAAACTTTTGTGGAAGTTTGAAAACAAAGTTTTCAGTGTTTTATTGTTACTTTAAATTTCGTGTTACTCACGCGTACCAGATGGCAAAGTATTCTGTAATATTTTTTTTTTCTATAAATAGAAAAAAAAACCATAGTAAAGTACAATCTACAATGGTAAAGTAATGATAATAAGATTTTACTAACCTGTTGCTCCCTATGTCTATAGCTTTTTGATTTTTTATCAGAAAAATTCCAATATTTATATACCTATTTTTTTGTTTTAGGGTGGAAGACCCATTTCCTTGGACAGGTTTATTATAAAAAGATCTATAACTGATTTTGAAACCGATGAAAATATAATTGATCATGATCATTTCGATAATGAAAAATCAGTTGATGAAAGCTTCTATTATACTAACACAGCCAGAGAAAGGTTTTTTCAAAATAACTACCGCAGTATGTATGTAACAAAATCAGATATTATGGTTTTAAAAAACAGTTTATATTTTATGGTTAAAAAAGTTGTAAAATATTTTTTTTTATTTAGGAATATTGCCTATTTTTCTCAATTTTATACTGTTAAAATAATATTTATTATACCATATATTCCTAGATTAACATCGGAAACAGTTTTCCTCCCCTGCCAACATTCACAAAAAATTCAACCCCTTCTGCTGCCACACAAGTAATTACGCGTAGAAACCAAAAACATATCATCAAATAACACATCACAGCCCTGTTCAATTCACTACAGCATAATGCATACTATAAAAACAATAAGTCAAGATAGTATTTACCCTGGAATAAAAACGATTTTGGAGGATATTATCAATAAATAACATCTTTACAGAACTTAAATCATTCAAAATTTTGCAATGGAACGCTCGATCCGTTGTTTCGAATAAAAACAGCTTAGTGCATTTTTTAACAACTGAAAATATTGACATTGCCTTATTAATCGAAACTTGGTTTAAACCAAATCAGAATTATATATTTAAAGGTTACAATGTAACTTGTCAAGATAGGTATGACGGGTACGCAGGTGTTGCAATCTTAATTAAAACAACCATACCATTTTGTCAAATAAATATTAGAAACAATTTTAACGATGAAATTTTAGTCTGCGGTGCTATCGTTAAAATTAATACAACATAATTAAGTTTTCTATCTATATATAGACCACCCAAAATTCGTACTTTCAAAAATTATTGGATAAATATCTTCTCACAAGTCAAATCACCTTTTATAGTTGGAGGAGATTAAAATGCTCATAACTCACTATGGGGCTCATTACAAAATGATGCAGTTGGTCACCAAATTGTTAGTAGTGTTGAGGATCTAGATCTTGTAATTTTGAATAATGGTGAACCTATCTATCTTCCTAGATATGTTACTCAAAAATTGATGATTAACATTTCTTTCTGCACAGCTAATATAGCTAGTAAAATCACCTGGTCAGTTTTATCTGACACCTTAGCCTCTAATAATTTTGCAATAACTATGCATTTTTCAATAACCTACACATCGCAGGAAACAATTTATCCAGAAAGCAAATGGAACATCAAAAAGGCCAATTGGTCCCTGTATACATCCTTAATTAAAAACATGTTTTCTTATAAAAGTAACTTCCTTAATACTTATGAAAATTATAACTTTCTAATAGATTGCATTAATCATGCTGCTATTAAATCTATTCCTCGATATAAAATTTTTAAATCCAAAAATCGATCCCCTCCGCCATGGTGGGACCCAGAATGTGATCTGATAATTAATAACAGAAAAGAAGCATTAGCAGTTTATAAACGTTCACCAAGCCTTGATAATTATCTAAAATGTCAGAAAATTACTGCTCATACTAAAAAGCAGCTGAAACAAAAAGCCGAAGCTAGTTGGATCAAATGGTGTTTTAATTTAAGCAAAAATACTTTTTTCAAAAAAATATGGTCACAAGCTAACAAAATGAACCGAAAATCACATAATGGTACAAAATCCTTCAATGATATTTTATTAGAAGACATCTTTAATAGAGTATCTCCTCCATGGGTTCAATATTCGCCTACACAGCCTACAGAAAGTCATCATTCTAATAATCACTTTTTATTAAAACCTTTTAATAAAACTGAATTAGACTTCGCCATTAAAAACCATATTAATACTTCTGGAAACGATCATGTAAAATACCCCATCTTAATTAACCTACCAACGGTTGCAAAAAACCATCTTTTACATATCTTCAATGATATCATCCAAAATAACATAATTATCGAGTCCTTCAAAAATATCTTAGTCGTTCCTATCCCTAAGCCCGAAAAGGATCCAAATATTGTGAGTTCATATAGACCAATATCTGTACTCTCATGCGTATTCAAAACCCTAGAAAGGCTTATAAAATTTAGATTAGATTCGTACAAAAAGAGAATTTACTACCAGTAAACCAGTTTGGCTACAAAAGAGGTTTTGGAACTCTAGACGCTTTAACAACACTTGTTGTTGATGTACAGAACAACTTAACTAGGAATAACTATTTAACAGCCCTATTCTTGGATATTGAAGGAGCATATGAATCAGTATATTTGTCAATATTAAAATTCAAAATTGTAAATTTCTTTCATTTGCCAATTGCTTTCGTTAACACAATTATCGGTTTCTATACAGACAGGGTAATCTACGTCAGAGACCATAATAACAAACTAATAGGACCTAGACACAACTATCACGGCATACCACAAGGCTCGATATTATCGCCAATTTTATCTAATATGTACACCTCTGACATACATAATATCCCATTTAAAATAATACAATATGCAGATGACTTTTGTGTCTATACAGAAAGTAAGAAATATGAAAACTGTATGCAAAACCTAAGCAGAGTATGTAGTTCTCTTTTCTCATGGTACTTAGAGAACGGCTTAAATTTATCAATAGCCAAATCAGCAGTATCTGTCTTTACAAGACACAACCTTTCTTTAAATCAAAATATACTTCTTAATATTCAATCTTTTACATTTAAAAACCATGTCAAATACCTGGGCCTTATACTGGATAAAAAATTGACTTGGAAACAACACATACAATATATGCTGGATAGATACAACAAAGGTAGTAATTTTAGTAGAATGACAACTCAAGTGTGGTAGGTTTGCGATTTTGAAACATCCTTATTGTTTTACAGAGCTTATATACGATCCATTATAGATTATGATGCTACTCTTTTGGTTCTGCCTCTAGAAATCTTCTAAGAAAAATTGACATTTTTCAAAATTCTGTCTTAAGGGTCTGTTTAGGTGCTATGAGATCTACCCCTATACAACCACTACATGTTGAAGCTTATGAGCCTCCTCTTTCAATTTTTTCAAAGAATTTGGCCAAAGTGAAAAAAATTAAGACTTCTTTGCTCTCTTCCATAAAACTAAAGTTATAATACTCACATATAGTGACAACAACAAATTGAGCAACAATATTTTAAGATTTGTTTTAAACTGGTATAATGATGCCACAGTTATATACACTGACGCATCCGCATTAATAGAAGGGACTGGCTGTACCTATTTTCTACCATCAGGAGGTTCTGAATTTAAGTACAAACTTTCCAATGAGTTTCCAATTTTCTCGGCGGAATCATTGGCCATACTCGAAATTTGAAATATGTTAAAAACTCTTATATTAAAAAATCGTTAATTCTTTCAGGCTGTCTTTCAGTTCTAAAGAACATAAAAACACTTTTTTGTTCAAAACATTTAGTAATCCTTATATTTTTTTAATAAAGAATCAATTAAAGCACTTAGCTGACTCTGGCTTTAATATAAAATTTATTTGGGTTAAGGCACATATTGGACTCAAAGATAATGACTATGCAGATTACTTAGCTAAAACCAGTATAATATCAAGCACTTTATTGTCATATTCTTTATGTGTGGCAGATGCCATTAGGATTAAAAAAAAACAGCTATCGACATGGAAAGATCAATGGAATCTTTACTGCTTTACAAACCAACAAGATACACCACTTTACAACCAGTTATTCCACAAACTACTTGGTTTAAGAATTTTAAATCTCCACGTAAATATATAACCACCATAAATAGACTACGCTTTGGACATGCGTGTTATCCAAGTCATTTATATAAAATAAATGTGATTGAAGATCATAATTGTAAACATTGCGGAAAACTAGGTGATCTTGATCACATCTTCTTTGAATACCCTAAGTTTCAACAGCAGTCAAACTCTCTCTACAAAAAATTAATCGAATTTAATATGTATGCACTATTCAATATTAGGGATAGAGTTGTGCATTTGTCTGATTGGAGAATCTATTGCAACTGGCTGAATAATTAATGTCAATGCCAGTAAAAAAAAACTAAAAAGTTATTGATAATTGATTAAACTGTATAAAATTCATAATAATGTTAAGAAAATAACTGCCATAATTTACAGTTGGTGTCTTTGTCCATTTAGTTAAGAGTCCATGAATTGGGTCCAATGATGCTTCCGTGGATCCGGAGGTATGGTCTGATATTTTTGGCGTCGAGTTGGAAGTACTTCATTGCCGATACAGCTTCCATTTTGATACTTCTTCTTCCTATGCCGTCCCCATTAACGGAGGTTGGCGACCACATTTTTAAAAGCTTCTCTGTCTTTTGCAACGTGGAATAATTCGTCTACAGTCATGTTTGTCCAGTCTCGAATATTTCGCAGCCATGACTTCCTCTTTCTACCTATTCTCTTTTTGCCATCGACTCTACCCTGCATGATGACCTGCAGAAGACTATATTTATTATTTCTTAGTATGTGTCCAAGGTATGCAGTCTTGCGTACTTTTATCGTTCTCAACAATTTTTTGACTCGACCCATTCTTCTCAGCACTTCCTCATTGGTGACCCTGGCAGTCCATGGGATTCTCAACATTCTCCGGTATATCCAAAGTTTAAAGGCTTCAATTTTTTAAACTATTTGCGCTTTTAGTGTCCATGTTTCTACCCCGTACAATAATTGCGACCAGACGTAACATTCAACAAACCTCAGTCTCAGCGCAATATTCAGATTTTTGTCACAGAACAATTGTTTGAATTTTAAGAACGCTGCTCTTGCCATTTATATTCGTACCCGGATCTCTTGGTCTGGATCTAATTCTGTGTTGATGTAAGCTCCCAGATATTTATATTTTGTCACTCTCTCTATTTGCTGTCCACCAAGAGTTAGTTGTTCATTATTTATTGGACTCCTTGATACTATCATAAATTTGGTCTTATCTGTGTTGATGTCAAGTCCCATTTATATGCATTTACTATTTATTGCATCTAGTAAAGTTTGTAGATCTTCTTATACTCTCAGCCATAATTACCGTGTCATCTGCAAATTTCATGGTGTTTATGATTTCTCCACCAATTCTTATTCCCTCTTTTCTTTCTCATAAGGGTTTTCTGAATATGACCTGTGGGTACACGTTGAAAAGCGTCGGAGACAAGACGCATCCTTGCCTAACCCCTCTCGCAATCGGTATATTATTTGTTTCTATATCGTTCACCTTTACTACTGCTTTCTGGTTCCAGTATATAGCCTTAATAAACTCAATATATTTTTTGTCTAAATTGATGTTTTTTAATTGATCTATTAACTTCATATGCTACACTCGGTCAAAGGCCTTCCCAAAGTCTATGAAGCATACATATGCACTCTTGTTATATTCCCGACATTTCTGCAAGAGTACCGGCAACGCAAATAATGGTAGAAATTAGCTCTACCAGTATCAAACATTTTGATACTGGTAGAGCTGATTCATCGAGCTGAATATCTAGTATGGGGATCGATACTTTACCCACATTTGTCGTTTTCTTTTCCAACTTTTGTTTTCTACTTTATATATTTTTTCCTTTTCTTTTCATGTTAGAAGATTCTTCTTTAAGAGGTAGTGGTGGACATGTGGCATTGGGCTTCCACTAAACCAACCCAACTAGTGTTATGAGTCCAAAAAGAATTTGGTCCACTATTCCCTATTATATATATATATATATATATATATATATATATATATATATATATATAATATATATATATATATATATATATATATATATATCTTATTAATTTAGTTATACATGTTTAAAAACAGGTTAAAAAGTACAATGTTTCTGAATAAATTTATATCAAGGAATATTTTGTGGAATGAGAACGTTGAGTTAAAACCCCACGAAATCATAAAGCATTGGCCAGTTGAGGCCAGAAGAAAACCATTATTGTCTAATTCACCAGCAGTATTTTTGGACTTACCAGATTTGGACACACATTTCTGTAAGTACACTTTATCCTTTCGTATGCACTTAAAATATCTTTTTATACTTTTCTCAAACAATTTCAATTGTAATTAAATACTATTTCTTTCAACTATTGAATAAACATATAAATTATAAAAAATGGAATAAATTCGATAGTAAACAAATAGAAACATGTTTAAATTCGTCAATTGGGCGATTTCCCAAATTTAGTTGGGCATTTTTTGCATACAAAATTTTATACATAGTATCTCATGTAACATTATACCTACAGTGACATATAAAATATATATCGCGGTGAGTACAGAAATTTGTTACAAACACTAAAAAACTAATATTTTTTGTGTTAAAATAATGAAAAACTATAAACAATAATGGTTGTATTTGGCCCAAACGATAACGACTCTGCTCATATTAAAGATAAATTCTGGATGGAATTAGCATTGGTTACAACGTCATAGGAAAATATGAAGAAAAAGCACAAATCAATAATGGCATAAAAATGCTGGACTTCTGTATGATGCACAATTTAGTAATAACTAATACATTTTTCAACAATGAAAAAATGTATCCCTGGCAAGTTTGTAGGTGCTAAGTAGTTCAAATATTAGATTTAGCAGCTCTTTCTCTTTGAAAGCGTAGTAAGAATAAACTTATAAATTACAGATTGTGAATTTATTGGATCACCAGCAAGTTACAGCTATGGCTTTTGATTTAGAAATAAGTGGAAGGCGTGATAAGAAAATGTCGAAAAAAAGACAAAAGTGCCTCCACTTCCTCTTATGCAATTGGTCTTAAGATAGTGGTACCTACTCTTCAAGTCAGCTAAGTCAAGAGGTTTAGTGTATATAATATTTTTGACATGTCCTCATACAAAGAAGTCCAATGACGTCAGATCAGGAAGTCATGCTAGCCAATTTATTAATGCTATTAAATATAAAGTTCAAGTAAATATTGTATACTTTCAGCAAGATGGAGCACCACTATATTACGAAATCAATGTTCGGTGGTACCTCAACCTAATATATCCAAATTTTGGATATATTAGGTTGAGGTACCACCGAACATTGATTTCGTAATATAGTGGTGCTCCATCTTGCTGAAAGTATACAATATTTACTTGAACTTGTGGGTTTACTGGATTAGATTCCTGATCTAGCCCATAATCCTATCATGACCCATCAGAAAAGGAAAAAGAAGAAAAAGAAAACATTGAAATACATTTGTATCTAACATGCCATAATTGTTTGCCACCCAATAAGCATTAAATGTATTGTAGCAAATTTTGTAATAAATCTGATAACAATTAAAGCCGAAATTCAAAACAGTTAAGGATATGACAGTGTCCATGAAGTAGGTCTAAAATGTTCTGAGAAATATAAAAATTGTGTAATACACAGGGTGTTGTATTTAAGGTAAGAAAGATGGTATTGGCCACTGTTACATAACACTCTGTAAAAAACTTGTATTGCAAAAATCCGCAACTAAAAATGCCAGTTGAAGTTTCCTAGTTTTTATTACATGTGATGCGGGGCGATAAGTATGGCATCCTGCGACTCATAATGCAAGGAAAAATAGATGGCAGAAGAAGCATCGGAAGAAGACGAATTTCATGGCTGAAGAACCTGAGAGAATGGTTTGGATGCAGCTCAAAACAACTATTTAGAGCTACTGCCTCAAAAATTAAGATAGCTATGATGATTGCCAACCTCCGTAGCGGAGATGGCACCTGAAGAAGAAGAAGAAGTTTTTATTAAACATTGATTTGAATTTTTTTATTTGGCTGTTCCACTCTGTATATTAGTCAAATACAAAATAAAAAACGCTTTGTTTCGGTTCAATATTGACTTCTGAGTATTATGAAATGGGAAATATGTTCATATTCTTCATTTTTAGGTAAAAATATTGTTGATTGGGGTAACACAGGTTATATTGCCACTATATTTGATTCACAAGTACATTTATGGCATCCGGATAAAAAAGTCACCATTAAAGTATCAACGGAATTTTACGACAATACTGTGGAAAAATGTATAAGGTGGAACAGGGATGGATCCTTGTTTGCTGTGGCTGTAAACATTAATCAGGTAGCAGTGTACGATATATTAGGAAACAAAGTAAGTAAAAACGAAAATGTCAGAATTTCACGAACTGCGAATTACGTCGGGGATTCACCTGAGCAAAAGTATATATTGACCTCGGGCTATTTTTGGTTTCTAGTTTCTATTTCTTTAACTGTTCATGTGATTCCCCGTCGGTGACTAGACTAGTGGTATTTCACGAACGGCGAATTACGACGGGGATCCCCTCTGCTAAAATTTATACTTTAATATTCTTATCTCACAAATTCACGAACAACAAATAATACCAATCGCACAGAATGAACGTTCATAACCAAAAGTCCTTATTTATTCTTCAAACAATTAAAAAAAACCAATATTTCCAACTTCTTATGTGAAAAATACACACAAATTCGAAAATTCTTGAAAAGGTTTTTAAAAGCCCCGCTCATTCTGAAGTCAGACTTAAGTAGTCGATTCTGGGACTCTAGGCTAAATCACAAAATGAATATCAATCAAAATTCCCACTTTCAGATGCCGCCTTTGAAGTTTGTCAGCACTCGACCGCCATATTTTAAACGGAAATATAGATTCGGATTGAGAAACTTGTGACAAGCTACGACAGAACTATAATTTAAATTTTTAGAGAATATTAATTTACCACATTTAAAATAATTTAATCTATTCTTCAACTTAAAGTACGAATAAAATAGTGCATATTATGTCTATAGCTGCCGTAAATAAATAAAACCGGGTTAATTTTTCTAGGTATATCAAATAAAAGCCACTGGTTCCGTTTAAAACATGGCTGATTCCATCTGCGCGGACGAGATGCGCGTACTTATTTTTTCAAGCAGAGTGGAAGTTCTGATTGTTTATAATTCTGTGGCTAAATATGGTTGTCAAGTTGTTAGGGAATTCTGGAAAATTTTGGAAGATTCTAAGGAATTAAAAAAACTGGCAAAAGAGGGATGCAGCTCGTTCAACTTCACTTTGTTCTGTGCAATGAGAATAGAGTGGTCTCACTAGATGCTCGTCTCGGATACTAGGAGTGTAGATCGGTAACCGTGACGCCGAAGCGCCATGCGTTCGTTTTTTCAAACCCGATACCTCGAACGATAGATCTTCACTTTCACTTCTCATTTTTCGCCATTAGTCGCGTATTACGGGTAGGGATGGAAAAAACCTACCGGTTTTAACCGAAAACCGGTTTTTTTACTTCGAAATAACCGGTTTTATCGATTGTTACCGATAGTTAAAACCGGTTATTAGGTTTTAACAGTGGTAAGGATTAGGTTAGGTATTATTTTGGATCCCACCCAATCATAATTATTATTCTCAAGTAATTATTCCAAACTATTCCTAAATACAGCATACAAGATATTATCAAATATTTTGCACGAGAGATTAAAGCCTTATACTGAAATGTTTCTATGGGAATATCAGGCAGGATTCAGGCCTGGACGTTCAACCATTAACCAGATCTTTACACTACGACAGATCCTCGAAAAAGCGCAACAGTTTAACATAGATATGTATCATATTTTTGTTGATTTTAAAGCGTCATATGACAGTGTCTTAAGACCAAGTCTTTACAACGCTATGAATGAGTTAAGAATTCCAAAAAAACTAATATGTTTGATAAAAGTGACAATGGCGAAGATGCTATCAGCAGTAAAAATTCAAAACGACTCGTCAACCCCATTTCAAATACATAGGGGGTTAAGGCAGGGAGATGCGCTGGCGTGTCAGCTTTTTAATGTCGCCTTAGAAAAAGTTGTACGAGACGCTAATTTAGATAGCAGGGGAACAATATTTAATAGATCAGTCCAAATTCTAGCATATGCAGACGACGTGGACATTATAACAAGAACTAGGGCGAGAACTGCGGAAATCCTAACCGAGCTAGTAGCAGCAGCAGAACGAATGGGGTTACATATAAATCAAAATAAAACCAAATTCATGGCGACTAACACAAACACAAGAGCTGGAAATGTTGACACAAATTTAATCATCAATGACCAAAACTTCGAAGCAGTCAATGAGTTCATATATCTAGGGACATCGGTTAACCCCAATAACAATACATCTGAGGAAATAAAAAGGCGAATAATAATTGCAAACAGGTGTTATTATGGTCTATCAAAGTACTTAGCTAACAAACGTCTGTCTCAAAAAACTCGTATAAGGCTGTATAGAACACTGATAGTCCCCGTTCTCACATACGGATCAGAGGCATGGACGCTAACGAAAACAGATGAATCCGCTCTATCCATTTTTGAAAGAAAGGTGCTACGCAAGATATTTGGAGCGGTCTGTGAGAACGGAATATGGAGGCGTAGATATAACTTCGAACTGCAGAATATCTACAAGCATACATTTGGTGGTAAAGATATTACCACTATAATTAAGCGAAACCGCCTGCAGTGGGCAGGACATGTAGCCCGGGCCACTGAATCGAACATGATAAAAATGATTCTAACAGCGCAACCTGTGGGAATGAGACGACGGGGTAGACCAAAGCTGAGGTGGATGGATGGGGTAACACAAGATGCGGAGAAGATCGGAGTCGGCAACTGGAAAATTCAAGCAAGGGACAGAACAGAATGGCGTAGAAAGCTTGAGAAGGTCGATGCCCTCTAAGGGCTGTAGCACCAAGATGATGATTATGAATTATTCCAAACAAAACTAAAATTCAATTTTTATTTTATTTTATAAATACAAAAGCAAACTGAAAGTGCAAGCTCACATCAGCCAGAAACAATTAAATTTTATTATAGTATTTCGTTGAAAAAGTATTTGTAGTCATAATATTTTTACATAAGAACTGATCTGGTATTTTTATACATTATTTATTTTTCAGCCTTGACTCTTGACATTGAAAGTGGGTGAATGGCTTTTTCTGATTACCAAAAATAATGACTATGAATATCGAATTACCGATTACGAATACGAATCTCAAAGGATTTCCCTACGTTTTCAAAACGGTTTATACCCATACCGAAAATCGTAAATGAGTTAAAAGTAATACATGATAATTTTTTTTGATTGTAGCAAATAGGAAATAATTTTGATTGGAAATTTTTGTTGGGGAAGTTTTTTCTCACAAAACAAAAAAAAATTGTGTTGTATTTACAACGATATTGATGTTATTTCGGTAGTACCTACTAATTTTGATCATATTGATATCAAGTCGAATGTAGTATCGCAAAGTAAAGTGCATTGTAAATGTAACTTTCTAATCTAGTGGATTAAAAAAACCGAAAACCGGTTTTTGGAAAAACCGGTTTTTTGGCCGGTTATAACTGCCAGGTTAAACCGTAAGCAAAAAAAAAACCGGTATAACCGAAAACCGGTGTTTTGTCAAAAACCGCCATCCCTAATTACGAGAGGCAGGGAAAACTTGCCCCGGCTGTATTCTCATTACCGCAAGACGGATAGAATACGTTTTCGGACATTCGGGAAAATACCAACTCAAACACGGAAATTCAGCGAAGGTGTCCTACTATTTCCACTATAATGCTGCAAAAAGCGCCACCTATTTTGGTAGCCCTAAATAAAAACGACTATCGATTTCTGTCTTTTTGAGCTATACGAAATATGTAAAAGACTTACAAATTTCATCAATGCCGTAGCTTTGCTACTTTGCTTTGCTTTAAACGAGGTATGCACAGTTTCTTATGACCAACCTTGCATTATATTTTTCTCAATCTGTTAAACAATTTCTATTTCAGGTATCCTCAAATACTGGCAGCTGCGCATGTTCAGTTAAAAATTCAGTTTTTAACAAGCTGTGTACTATAATCTCGATAGAATGGACAAAATCAAATATTTTATTAACAGGATGTTCAAATGGTACGTTGACCAAGTTCAATGCAAATTTGAAATGGCAGAGGTTCAGGTATCGCGTACATAGTGAAGATATTATAAAGCTAGCTTTGTCCTGCAATGAAAACTATTTGACTTCAGTAGGAATGGACAAAACTATGCTTATTATGAAATATCCTGAACTTGATGTTATTCAAAGTTGCCGTTTAGAAACCACAAAGGTAAGATGTTGTTTCAAAGAAATCAATTGGTATTTTCTTTTTAGTGACTTCTCTTTTAATAGAATATTTTTTAAAATAGCAGTATTAGTAAGTCAATAGTATATCCATGATCCATATATCATTTATATTTTAGTTACATAAATATAAAAATAGAATTTAATAATAAGAATAAAATAAATCTATGGCCAATTACTTCATCCTATCGGAATAATATCATCTGTTTTTTTCCTGAGGGTCACTCACTACTTCCAATTAAATTACGAACGAGAGAGTTTTACTGACATGATGGGGCGTGGTTGCATTTTTAAAGAGAAATTATATCATTTTTCTTCTATAGGATATTCTTGAGTTAAAGGTGATTTCATGTAATGAAATGAAATATATTCCAATAAAGTCATCCCAAAAACTCACCACAAAAATATTGACAATATAGTTTTAAAGTCATCTACAATAAAATGTAGTCATTATGAATTAGGCAGATAAAATTTAATTATTAAAAGATTTTTTGTGTAATAGAATAAAAGAATATTTGTTTAATTTTTATTTTGGAATGGAAATCAAAACACCGTATTTAAAATAACGCTTATGGTGTCTTAACAATGAGGGCATTTTTTCAACCCCCGTATATTATGGTATTTGAATTTCAAGAAAAATATACAATACCATTTTAAATTTGAGTTAAACCGAACATATTTGTTGTACTAAGTATATTACCTGTATAACTTGGACTAAACATTGAACATCTTTTACTTCCCGTACTGGTATTTAAGTACTTGGCCAATGATTCAGTAGGACCGTTGTATGCACTGGCAATGGGACGTAGACGAATATCGAGTTTGTGAATTTTGGGTACGCCATAGGTATATTCAAGGTGTTCTAATAAATAAAAGGTTTTTTTATGTCAAGAGGAAGAGAGGTTTTGTTGAGAATGGCTTTTGTTGTTTTCCCTAGATATATTGTTGGATTATTAGGAATTGGTTTGTAGTCGCCCTTTGTTGTTTTTGCATGTGCCAGGATGCTAACACCTGACGCCAAAACCTCCACTTTAAAGGACCTGTACTTTTAGCCGCCCACTCTGGATCAGACGCTACTTGATTCTACACACACCCCAAAATCCGAGGGCGCCACTTCCGCCATCCATTCCGTTAAATTCCTTGGCCTCAATTCTTTTCGCTAAATAATCCATAGCTACAAGATTATATTTATTTTCATCATCCATTTCTGGAAATAGACGTGTAATGTCGATTGCTGCTCTTTTCATAAGTCTACCAACATTATACTGTTTGATGGGTACCTTTTTTTACCAACTCGGCCATTAATGGTTTTTTACAGTTCACATTTTTGGTACCACCTTTTTACATCATCTTTAGTGTTCACTCGATAGCACCGTTCTCGAACCTTATTTAGAGTCTTCGCAACTTCTGTCACTTTACTTTTAGGTAAAATCATTTAAAGCTTAAATTTTATAACATCGTCGTTTTCAAAGGTTCTATACAGAAGATTATTTTTTAGTACCACGCAATTCCATTGGCTCCTGTAAGACTTGACTTCTGGATTACATACACATATAAGAATTTAATCCAATACTCTCTTTATACATAGATCATCTGATTAGGCGTCTTTAAGGCTACTATTGATCATTAATGACGGTGGTTCGTCTCACGGAAAAAAGCGGCTCACTCAAAGGCGTTCCTCTAATTTAAGACATTGATTACGACATGCACTGCATGGTCGTCTAGAAAGAACATCCGCATTTGAATGAACTCTTTTAGCCCTATGTTCCATTTGTTTTTAACTTTTGTAATATTTTCCAGCAATTTACAGCGAATGTAACCACTGTCGCCACCATTCCGATATCTAGGGTCGCCTCTCTTCAGCATCGTGTTTGAATTACTTTTTGTACGATTTCCTCTAGACGTTTATTGTTTTGTTCATCGCCTGCTTTAATAGTTCGTTCTTGACAGCTGCGTTAAGTTTGACTAAATGTTTCGCATTCCAGGGTAATAGCGCCTTATCGCTATTGTGCAAGAGTCTTGCTTGTTGTAAAGCTTTCTCCACTAGACTGTCTCTTAACTCATTACCGAAGGTTAACTTTTACAGAAATTTCTTCTAAAATGTTGTCTGGTGCCTCCGGATAAGCTAATCGCATTCTACGAGCTACCAGGATATATTTATTTCGATCATTAGCCTCTGGAAATGGACCTGCAATGTCGATTGCTACTCTTGACTACCAACATTGTACTGTTTCATAGGTGCCCTTGTTTACCAACTGGACTATTACTGGCGGCACACAGTTCACATTTCCGGCACCATCTTCTTACATCAGATTTATTACAGTTTATCCAATAGAACCGTTTTTGAATCTTTTGCAGAGTCTTCGTAATAGCAAAGTGTCCACCTAATGCACCGTCATGCCACTGACGCAATACTTCTGACATTTTACTTTTAGGTACAATCAACTCAAGCTTAGTTTCTGTACCATCATCGTTCTCAAAGATCTAATACAGAAGATCATCTTTAGCACTAGTCAATTCTATTAGCTCCACTAACAGTGGACTTCGGGACTACCTGCACTAATGTCTTGCGAAGTAGTTCTTTTACTTCGACGCATCCAATCCAATACTCTTTTTATACATGGATCATCTACTTGAGCGTTTTCTAGCTGTTAAGGCTGCCATTAATCGTTAATTACGGTGGTTCGTCTTACGGGCCAAAGTCGTTCTTCAAATTTAAGACAGTGATTACAATTTGCACGTCTTGACTGAGCATCAGCATTTGAATGATTTTTTCCAGCCTTATGTTTGATTTGTTCTAGCTTTCTGACTGTTGTATGATTTTCTGGCAATTTACCATGAATGCGACCATCGTCGCCACCATTCCAACATCTGGTTTGAAGAAGATTACGGAGAGATAAAAAAATTATCTAGGTTATTGTGTATTGTGCCTCTAATTATTGTATCGATATCAACATTAGGTCAAGACTTTGCTGCCTGATTCATTTTACGTATAATTCCATGGATTTTGTTTACAATAATATAGATATTTTAAACCATTCATTAAAATTAAAACTGTTATATTCTTTCGATATACGTACCTGAATACAGAAAAAAATTTTAGGCTATAGCTTGGCATCCTTGGAAAGATTCTTTACTAGTGTTGGGTGAAACAGATCACTTTTTTCTATGGAATGTTCAAAATCAGAAAGTTTCAAGCTCAATTATATTTCCGAATACCTACATCGATAGTTTAATATTTAATCCGATGTCTGCTGAACTGCTGGTAAGTAAACCAAAATGAGATATATAACTTTCAATTACGCATGAAAACGTAAAAAACACTGTGACTAAAAAGTTTATTTAATGAATTTAGAAAAAGTTTAGTTTTTGTGTCTGACTTCCATAATGTTTATATGAAAGTAGCTAACAAAAATAACCTACTCAGGCATTCACATAATTAATTGAAGAAAAAATTTGAAAACAAAATTAAATGATATTTTTATCAGATTTTTTCGATATAATAAATAAACAATTTCCAATTTCTTTTTTATTTTTGTTTTAATTACACTAATTTATTGCCAAAAGACATGTTTTTGAAAATATTTCTCCCATTATTAGAGTTACCAGGTAATATAAGTTAAAGCAGCTCGTTTCCGTTTTTTTTTCTATTATCTGAGCAAGTCTTTGTTCCACTAACTTTGTGGTAACTTTGAATATGATCACAGATTAACGTTTAATAGCTATGTCATTATTGTGTTTACGTAGGGTCCTTTTTTATCTTTTTCTTCTTCTTCTTCTTTGGCTTTTCCCATTATGAATTCGCCGTTTTCGTCCTCCACAGCACTCTATTTTCCCAGTCACCTTCTCTGAGGTCTCTATCTATCATAGCATTTCCGACGTATGTTTTCCATCTTGTAGCAGGTCTTCCTCTCCGTCTTCTTCCCAGCGGGTCCCAGTTTAATATTCTTTTCGGCCACCTATGCCCTGGCATTCTTTGTACATGCCCGTACCACTACAGGGCTCTGTTTTCCAACTTTTTTGTAACTGAGCATACTACTTCCATTCTGTTCCATATTTCCTCCGTTCTTATTCTATCCGCTCTTGTGATTTGTAGACATCTTCTCACAAAGTCCAGTTTAACTGTTCTTATTTTATTTCGTATTGTTGTTGTCATTATCCATACTTCCGCTCCATAGAGGGTAATATTTATCACTATGCTTTGAAAGATCCTCTTTTTATTTTCATTGGTTGGAGTGTTGTTCCATATCACTCCTTGAAGTGCTCTTGTGGCTTGTTTTCCCCGTCCTATTTTCATTTCTATATCTTTCATACAAGTACCATCTCGGCTAATCATTGAGCCTAAATACTTAAAAGTCTTACAACTCTTAATAGTCTCTTCTTCTAGACTTAAGTTCAAATCTGCAACCTCAGATCCAATACATAAGTATTCGGTCTTGCACATATTTATCTTGAGTCCCCAAAGTTCATATTTTTCCTTTAATTTTCTTATCATATATTCCATATCCTCCCTGTCTTGTGCAAAAATGACTTGATCATCTGCGAAAAGTAGTGAATCTAATATATTCTCTTGTACTGGTATGCGCATTGTTCCGCATTTTATGTACTATCTTTTCACAGCCTGATCTATATATATATATATATATATATATATATATATATATATATATATATATATATATTGCACTTCTGTTTCTATATATACAGTCTTTGTGTTATATTTACCCATTTCTCTCTAACGCGCGTTCTTCTCATTGCTTCCCATAGTTGTTTCCTGGGCACTCTATCGTATGCTTTCTCTAAGTCGATAAAGGTCATATGTGTTTCAATGTTTTTTCTTTGTTCTTTTTAATCACCTTTATCATAATGAATATATTATCTAAACATGATCTGGCTTTTCGGAATCCGGCATGTTCTTCGCTATAATGGTCCATGTGTTGTTCTAGTTTTTTTTTTATACCTGATAAAAAGATTCTTGCTATTGAAGGCATTACACTGATCCCTCTATAGTTATTTGGTGACCTTTTGTCACCTTTTTTGAAAATAGAGGACATGTATGATAAATTCCACTCATCGGGAATCTTCTCTCCTGCTTCGATTTTATTGAACAACATTCGTATAAAGGATAATATCCTTGCGCCTCCATATTTCAGCAGCTCCATTTTTATGTTCCCTGGTCCTCGTGCTTTATTGTTTTTGGATTTCTTTAGTGCTTTATTTATATCTTTCTCTGTGATTTCTTCTTCCTCAGTTATTATTGTCACAGGCCCGTATGAGATATACTCCGACCTACTCTCCTGCAATAATTTGCAGTCCTTTTTAATATATGGTTATAATTAACCTCTTTTTATATTACACTGAACCTGCCAAGCATAATCTGCCTTGCGATAAAAATCTACCAGCTACTATGTTCTTTCTTGTTTTTTACTATTCTGTTTAATTCTTTTTAGCGCTTTTACTTCTTTTATCACTTATTTCTGGTGACTAAGATAGCGGAGTATGGAAAAGAGTGCGGTCTAACAATAAACGTCAAGAAGACGAAATCTATGAGAATATCTGAAACTCGAAGAAATCATGAGAAGCTTATAAAAAACGAAACCAACGACGAACAAGAGTCCAAATATGCATATCTGGGAACAATGACTAACTTCATAAATGATTACATTCAGGAAATCAAAATCAGGATAGAAAAGGCTAAAGCAAATATCAACAAACTGAGAAAAGTGCTATGTACAAGAATTTAAAATTGGAACTAGGACTTGGTGCTATGTTTACTGGTTGACGTGGTGCTATGTTTTTTCGACTTTGTTTTATGGAATGGAATCTTGGACCTTTAATGCGCCATCAATGAAAAACCTTGTATCATTCGAGCTGTAAGTATATAGAATAATTCTGAAGATATCGTGGACAGAAGACGTCACAAACAAAGAGGTTACAAGAAGGATAAATTAAGAAATAGAAATTTTAAATACAATAAAAACAAGAAAATTAGAATATCTCGGACATATTACACGTGCAGAGAAATACACCTTGCTCCAACTCATTATGCAGGGAAAGATCCAAGGAAAAAGAAGCATAGGGAGGCGTAGAATGTCATGGCTGCGCAACCTGAGAGACACGGATCTACAGACCGAGAGTTTGGTACAAATTCCACGGCTTGGCGCAATCGTACTTGTAAGTTCGTGAACTAGTCGACTGGAGTTACAATTTGCCAAATTTAAATGTAATCGTGTCTACTCATTCATATTAATATTATACTGTATAATATATTAATGTTTTTAAAATTGGTAATATTATTAAAGCTTTTAATATTATTTTTTAATATTAATAATAATATTAAGTAATTAAATACTGCGCCTTGCTTAAAAAAAGTACGAGATAAATAACTCGTTTTTTTATATGAAAGTGCAATTTTCTTGCAAATGCTTGTTTTTTTGATAAGATAATACGAATTATATGAAGAGTATCTAAGCGTTGGGTAGTCAGTGGCGAATCCACGAGGAGGGAAAAAGGATGTTCTGTATTTGTCAATACTTTGACTGAACATACAACCAAGAGAGGATGGAATGTTGTCAGACCATTAACAATATTGAAATATAACCAGTACGTGACAGGAAACGATGTAGAATATGTTGTATGGATTAAATTTAAAAAACACAATTTACGAGTGTGCTGATTGTGACAAAAAGCCTGGACTATGCATAGGATATTGTTTTCGCAAATACCATTCAACCAAACAGATCGATTGCATTCAGTATATTAGTTTAATTAAACATTTTATTTTCTAAAGACCTTTTAATTGTTAGCTGATGTCCCACTAACAATTTTTAATTTGAAAATATAAATATCTAAAAAACTTCCACAAATGTTAAGGATAATAAATTGAAATCCTTTAACAAAAGGCTATAGCTATAATTTGAATAAGCTGGTTTTATTTAGGTGATGATGACAACCTGGTTATTGAATGCGATGACGAGAAAAGGGCTTTGATTGATGCGGTTAAAATCAAGTAGAGATGAAGAAAGCCATCTAAAAGAAGCAAAGGAAAAATTAATTTTACAACTTAAGGAGCTTATCTTTGACTTATATGAGCTTATGACTTTCTTATTACGAATTAGCATATTAGGCAGGTATTTTACATAGTGACAATTCTCTTAAAGATTTTTGTTTTATTGAAAAATGAACCTGATATTAATTTCTTGAAAATCTTTACGTATGCTAAGGGTAATAAATTAAAATCCTTCAATATAAGACTATACGTAGGTACCTATAATTTGATTAAGCTGGTTTTGCCCATACTGACTTTCTAATTACCTACTAATTTGCGTAACAGTCAGATATTGTACCTGGTCAAAATGCTGTTTAATATTAGGATTTTCATTTCGGTTGTTGACACTCCATCCGATATTAATTTCTTGTAAATTTTTATAAGGCTGAGAGTACTAAATCGGAATACACGAGTATTGTTGAAAAAAATTGAAATTGAAGGTACTACACAATCGAAGAGCTCAAAAAAATTAAACATTTCCGGTATTCTTTTTCCAGATCGTATTTTGTTTTCGAGATAAATTTAAATTTGGGAATTTTTTATTATGTTTTAATTTAATTTCAGTGTATAAAAGCCTATTATTATCCAAATTTTATTTGGAAGTTTTAATCTTAAGTGTTCAGAAACAATTTGCTAGGAAATGAAAATTTGTTTTTTTCCTTAGTTCTTATTTTGCTATAATATTTCTCATTTGATTTAATAAAAAATATTGTAAATTATTTATCTCATACTTTTTTTAAGCAAGGCGCAATATGTAATTATTTAATATTATTATTAATATTAAAAAATAATATTGAAAGCTTTAATAATATTACCAATATTAAAAACTTTAATATATTATACATTATAATATTAATATGAATGAGAGAAACGATTACATTTAAATTTGGCAAATTGTAACTCCAGTCGACTAGTTCACGAACTTACAAGTACGATTACGCGAAGCCGTGGAATTTGTACCAAACTCTCGGTCTGTAGATCCTTGTACCTGAGAGAGTGGTACGGATGTACATCAAATGAACTTTTCAGAGCAGCCGTCTCAAAAGTCGGAATAGCTATGATGATTGCCGACCTCCGCCGCGGAGATGGCACTTGAAGAAGAAGACTTCTCTCGTGTTTATCTCTTCAGACTCTTGGACTTCTTCATGACTTCTTTCTTCTATTTATTACATTTGTTAAACATTACATGTTTTTATATTTTAATTATTTTATATATTTAATACTTTAATACTTTTGACATTTTTAAGGTAAGTCAACATTTATATGATGAAGACGGCAATACCGTTAGTTATTTAAGAGTTATGAAAAATTTGAACTGTATTGTTGATGAAGTACGATGTAATGAATATAGAATTCCTTATTTATTGTGGGACCCAACAGCAACAAAACTTGGTAAGAAATTTTTTCCATAAATAACAAACAAAATATATTATTTTGAATATCGATGGCTAAAGTGTAAAACCTAATAAATCGAATTCTATAAATTTTACAGGAGAGACAAAAAACTGATTACTTTTTTTAATAAGGCGTTTCTGTTTTGGTGTTATAATGACTAGCTCATCCATTGCACCTTGAAACCCCTCAGGGGTGTTGATCGGCATGAACTAATTTAATTTGAGCAATCGGGAATTATTTATTTTATAAGTTAATAAAATAATAAATCAAAATATAATAACAATTAAAAATTCAGGTTCTAGCAACAGAGAATTAAGCATCTATATACAAAATTCAAAGAAAGAAAGAACTTAGCTTAACTCTATGAGAAATCCTCCTGTTGCTCTCTTCTCAACTCGAACCATAAACTAGTTGCAAAAGACCATGCCTCTAAGCCAAAACCATGTGGATCCTCAAAACCAAGATGGATTTTCTTATTCCAAAAACAAGGTGGATTTTCTTAAACAAAACCAAGGTAGATTTTCCTCTACCAAAATCAAGGTCAATGCAGATTTTCTTATAACCATAAAACCAAAGACAACGTAAATTTTCTTTAATCATAACCACGTTGAACGTGGCCAGACCGTTGGAAGTTTCTGACCACGAAGATTACCTTGTCGTTTGCTGGTTTATTTTAAAAAGGAATTAAATCGGATCGGATTAATAGAAGTAAATTATTTAGTGGTGGGGTTTCTGTTTCTTGTATGATAAAGTAAGCGAAGGTATAACTACGAGGGGACTTAAGAAATTAATCAGTGAATTTATTTGTAATAGTAAAATATTGAAATGAAATATAGGAATACAAACAAAGGAAAAAGAAGTTAATATAATCGATAATCAACTAGTATGAGAAGAAAATAATGAAAAGTACTTTGAAATTAATAAGAACAAAAATGTAAAGTTTTAAACGTTACAGCGTTAGCGATATAAAACATAATTGCACCTATTTTTAATGCTGTGCAAGTACATTAAATTGGATTTGATTTAAAAAAAAATCGACTTACGAGGTTTTGTTGTATATTTTCTTAACCCTTTAACTGCCGTGTGCGTCATATCAATTTTTGCTTTGTGTGTCTAAAGCTAAAATAAACCAAAAATATGATTGTTGTTATACCTGCCTATCTTACATAATAAATATTCTCTTTTAGGAACTGCAAGTACCGACCAGAATTTCTGTATTTGGGATTTTTTTGGGCGCAGAACTAAACAAGAAAAAAAATATAAAAATACAAAGCGAGATGTATATGCAAACGATATTTTCAAAAATAATGGATCTTTCGGAAGTGTTATTCGATAAGTTTTTATATTTTCTGTTTGTGATATGATATATTTTACAATTTTATAAACAATTTAGTTAGAAATATATACACTCAATAAACCTTAGAAGAAATCTTTTATCGAAAGCTGTTTGAAAAAAACTGCCATGAACATCATTTAAGCTATGTATATATATATATATATATATATATATATATATATATATATATATATATATATATATATATATATATATAATAGGTGTTTTTTACTAAAACCAATAAAAAATATTAATATTGATCAAAGTCAACTATCAGAAGGCAATGAAAAATCACCGAACTGTTTTTAGGTACTCAGAACCTCTACACCGCGTAAGGCAATGCCTAACTTTGAACGGGCCACAAAAAAATCAATATTTATAGAAACAAAATTATTTTTGATAGTAAAATAGGGTTTAATTAAATAGTACAGAGTTTAATTTTCATAGAATTTAGAAGTTTAAAAACACTATTAAGTATCCTGTAGTAGTACGATGCATTGGTATTAGCTCTAATATTTCCTCAAAAATGATTGAATCCTTGTCACAAGCAAAGAAACACAGCTAATTGAGCTATGCCACCAATGTCCCTACTCTCATCAAAGGCGATGAAAACTCTTTTAAAACTACAAGTCGGTACTTTTTTCTGCTACTCTATTTCCACACAAAGAAATTAGTTGAAAACTCTTCGAGTTTTTAGGAGAAACATTTTCTACAGTTTTAATTAGATATTTTGTAGATAATATCACCTTCCGTAAAAGGTTTTGGATGTTTATCTCTTATTACTCCAGTCTATCTGGAAAAAAGGCATAGATTTCACTTAAAATTTTTTGAAAAAAAAAACAGATATTTGAAGGAAGGTATATTTTATAAGGGGTAGCTGACGAAAAATCCATGAAAACTTATAGCTGGTTTTGCTTTGTTTTGTTTTAAACAATATTCAAAAGTGAAAATGTCATTTTTTTGCCTATCAAACGTTCTTGTTATTTACTTAGTTTTTTGCATAACGACATTTAATGCTCGGTGGATGCTCCGACTACCGAATACAGTATTTCATCGAGAAGGACCAAACTTACTACTGGCATTTGCAGACGATATAGATCTAATAGGAAACACGCGATTAAGGATGAAGGAGACTTTCGTAAGGTTTGAGAAGGAAGCAGAGAAGATGGGGCTCCAAATCAACGAAAATAAGACGAAATATATGTATATGAGCCGCAATAACCAAAGCAGAGACAGAATCGGTCAGAACATTACCATCGATGACTTTAACTTTGAGCGCGTTAGAGAATTCAAGTATCTTGGAACAACAATAACTGAAGACAATAACGGATCACAAGAAATAAACAACAGGATTCAGGCCGGCAACAGATGTATTTTTGCCCTCCAAAACCTTATAAAATCAAAACAACTAACACGACGTACGAAGATACAGGTCTATAAAACAATCATACGACCCGTTGTGATGTATGGAAGCGAAACGTGGACGATAACAAAGGCAAATGAAGAGAGACTACGGGTTTGGGAAAGAAAAATCCTAAGGAAGATCTTTGGTCCGGTGCTTGATGAAGCATCAGGACAATATAGGATAAGAACTAATAAAGAGCTTGAAGAACTTTACCCAGACGCCAACATCATAAAAGAAATAAAGTCCAGAAGACTCCAATGGGAAGGACACCTCAGAAGACATTCTGACGAACGAACAGTAAGACTGGTGTGGGAGAAAGTCCCAACTGGAAGGAGACCACGCGGACGCCCTCGTCTCCGGTGGCGAGATAATATAGCAGGAGACCTAAGCACTATGGGCGTGGAGAATTGGATGGAGGTTGCTCAAGACAGAAAACAGTGGAGGCATGTTGTCGAGTCGGCTAAAACCCACGAAGGGTTGTAACGCCACGGAGTAAGTAAGTAAGTAAGTAAGGATGCTCCGACCGTGGGAGCATCCAACGTGGGGCGCCATGTCACCAGATGGGAAGGAAGGGCCTGGAAAACTACGGCCACTTATCCATTCCCAAGGTGCCTTGAGGGACTTCGACCAGTTTATTCGAAGCTCCCTCTGCAGATACTATCTTTGGTGGATATAAATCTTTCTTACATGGAAGATAAATAAAACGCAGTTTAGAAGGTGGACAAGGTCCAGCCACAGAGTCTCAATATTACGAAAACTGGAGGACAGCTCCGACATCTTACTTCCAAGGTACATAATACCCTATTTGGGAGCCGAGAATTGAAAATGTCGCATCTTTATAGGTTTATATATGGCATTTTTAGATCACTCGGCCAATAGATAATATCGAAGATTTTTTGAGGCAGGGCGGTGCACATTGGGGAGCGTACTAGTCCACGAATAAGGGCTTAAATAAATAAATAATTGAACTTCGATAAAATAAAAGGATAAAATATCGAGCAGAGTTTTTATTAATTAAATCTTGCCCAATCCGAAATAAATTTTATATTTACTTTACAGGTAAGTAATCGCAACATAATTTAACATAAAAGGACATGTACATTTTATTTTATAAATAAATCTACCTTTAGCTATCCTATGTAGTTATCTTTTAGATAACTATCTGTCAGATGGGACAATATTTATCTGGAGGTAAAAAAAACCCGCCCTTTCATGCAAGAAGTATATTACTTTAAACATTTAATGTTTAATTATTCTGAAAATTTTGTTGATCCTAAGAAAATTTGCTGCGAATTTGTTAATCGGTAAAAAATACAAGACAATACTCGAGCTTTCCCAATAAATAAATTGCTAAACTAGAATTAAGCTGGTTTTAGGTCTCTTTAAAAAGGACTTTAATTTGTTATGAAAGTTGTAGATCAGATTAAAATAATATTCTGTTGTCATCCTAGCCTTAAATAGAAGCAAGACAGAAAAAAACAAGTCAAGTGATTGTAGCTGCAATTGATTTTATCTCCATCGAATGGTGAATTTACTCATTTACTTGAATTTACTAATTTTGAAACAAAACCACATACATGTAATATTGGCCTAATTTTTGTAATTTACAACATCTAATTTGTTTATCTTTATTAGACAACACCCTAATATGGGTTTTCTATCATTTCAGCATTTATTTAACTTTGTATCGAGACCTGAAGATCCTTTGCATATTGTAGAAAGCGAAACCGGTCATCTGATAGTTAAATTAAATTGATAAGTCTTATTTATTATATCTTTACCTATTTCTATTTTATTAATAATTAAATATTTCGTTTAAATTTAACAGATTTGTCAGAAGTTAAGAACTTATGCTTTGTTAATACCTAACCCGGTGGCGTTAGGAGCAAAACATAACAATTTATTAAAATATTTTAATATAAATAGGTAAAAGAAATAATAAATACGACTTACTTACAATTGTGAGTAAGTCTTATTTATTATTTCTTTTACCTATCTAAAATGGACTCACACAAGCAACACATTCATGATTTTAATATAACTTGTTATTTTACAACATCTTATTTAGTTTATAATAAATATAAAGTACGATAAAAAGAGTTATAAGTAAAACATTTAAAAAATCTTTATATTTATAGAGTCACATTGTAAAGTAAAGTCCATTGATGTACCTGACGAGGAAATGTTTGTTAAACAAAATGTCAAAACTGACCATAATGTGATATTTTGATTTTTAAAATGTTTTCTCATTATTATTTGTGGAGGAAACGTAAAAACATCTTATTAACAAATGAGATCAAGCATGTAAAAAGCTGAAAAAAGGTACAGCAACAAAAACTGCTGCTCAACGTTCTAAAGCTTTTAATTAATCGTAAAAAACTAATTAATGGCGCAAGAGATCGTATTCTGAAATATTCGACACTTGTGTTTTGTATAAAATATAACTAAAGGCATATTTGTACAACGCAAAATGACGAATGTGTCACATTCATTACTTTCAGTGTTGTAATTGATCCAGTTATTCAACTACAATCTACAAACTTTCAAAAATACTAAACATTGTTGACAAGAACAAAATGCATGTGTTCACAATTGTGTGAATTATGGCTTCAAAGAAGTTCTTTCGGTGGGTCACTTTATCATTTTGTTTTTATCGGTTTCTCATTATCTGCTTATTCAGTTAACTGGGTAGGTATAGCTAAACCAGAAACAATGATTTTGTCGAAACGAAAATTATTTAAAAAAACGTTAAAGAATGCTGTCTCTGCGACGTCGTCCACACAGTGTAATTCTCCTTTCCATCACAAACACCTCGAAAGCAAAGATGCAGCGAGAAAAAAAGGGTGATGATAAACAGTCGGCTTTGGAGAATAGGAAAATATTAGCATTTAATATCGATCTTCAATTTGTTTTGTCAACGCCTAAAGGAACTGCAGAACCTTGTGTTTATGTGAAAAATCTTTTTATAATTTGACCATTTATTATTTAAGAGAATGGAGCATCCAGTGTTTCATATAGGATGAAACCAAGGGAAAACGCGGTGGTACTGAAATTGCTACATGTAAATTTAAATACATCATGTCTTACCCTGATATGGAACATGTCAAAAGTGATGCCCGATAATTGCGGAGGACAACAGAAAAACTTTCTGCCATGTGTCCAATATGTTGTTAATTGTCACCCAAATTTAAAAACAATTAACCATGTATTTTTTATACCTGGTCACTCAGATGTGGAATGCAATTATATGTCCATTGAAAAATTGAATCTAACTTAAAAAATTCCCCTGTATAGGCACACTCTTAAAGGATGGGTAAAAATCATAAGACTTACACGCTGTTAAGAATACCCGTTTGAAGTGACATACCTACTTCTTAACGACTTCTTAGATTTCAACCAAAGAAAGGTGACACTTGCACTAGAAAATAAAATAAAACCAAAGAACCAGCAAAATCAATATGAAAAAGAAAATGAAGTAAAAGATGAAGAGCAAACAAGTAATACTAATTTTAAATATAGTGATGATATATGGTACCAGTATCGGCAAAATGGAAATAAATTTTTATGAAGACTAGAATTGATGAAAACTTTTATGTCTATGGATACTTGATAATATCCACCAATATTACCAATCTTTACCAACATCTAGTACTGCCAGAGATTGCCTTCCAGAACCTG